TTATATTTTTAAAGCTGCACTGGGGTGGCATTAATTTTGTTGTACAAGTTGTACAATGACAATAAAGATTTCTATTCTAAATATGCTCCTGGCAACAGAAAGGAGAGCCAGTTTAGTGTAGCAGTTAAGACATCAGGCTAGACCATGAGTTCTAGTCCTGCCTTTGGCACAAAGCCAGCTCGGTGGCCTTGGGCCAGTCAGTCTCTCTCAGCCCTGGGAAGAAGGCAGTGGCAACCCACTTCTGAAATCTTGCCAAGAAAACTTCAGGGACTAGCCAGGAGTCAACACTGATTCAAAGGTACAAAAACAACAGAAAAGTCGCCTACTTCAGTATACAGGGATCCTCTATGATTGCCATTATTACTACTAAGAAACTAGTCCTTTAACATGGGATGTATAACTTTATGGCCCTAGTTACTCTGTGGATTGAAGTCCTGTTGTTAGTTGCAAATTATAAATGATTTACTTACAGGTGCTGATTACCATTACAATGAAACACGGTCATCCTTTATTGAAATTGTTGTGCAAAGCTTCATGTATTCAGAGAAAGAAAGAGATATGAAGCTTTTATATATATAATTTGTTAATGTTGTGTAGCTTTCTTGTTTTTCCTTTTTGTTAATTGTTTTTTTTTCTCTTTATTGGGTTTTATTAAATAAATAAATAAAGCCAAAAATGGTAATAAATTATGATGTGGTATAAGAAATTGTCTTTCTAGCTGTGGATGCCGCTCCAGTTGAAATCAAGCTGGCTTCAGTCATGCATATTTCTCCTTTAAAAAAACAGGTTAATAGAGAAAAAGATGCAGCTGGAGATGAAGACAAGGACCGGCAGCTTCTTGTAGCTGAAGAGGGAAGAATTAGCCCTCTGCCTGACTCTGAAGCAGCAGATATTCCAAACGGAGGAAATAAAGCCACGCTGTTGCACAATTCTGAAAATAAAAACCAAAGCAAGGACAGTGTATTCCAACCTTCTGTTGCAATAAGCTCTGACGTTACTTCAGAAACCCAGGAGAGCATAGTCCAACAAGGGAAAGGTATAAAGTCACTTGCACAGTTTTCTTCTTAGATACCTATGATGGTAAAGGGAAGGACTTTCAGTTCCTTGGTAGCATTGACATCAGCAGCAGGGTCTAGCTGTTATTAGGAAAGTGGGTGGACTTTCACTCCAATCAGGCAGAGACATTCTTAACAATGGTGATAGTTTCTTTTTCTTCTTCTCCTTGGACGTATTGCCTTTTAATTCATTTATTTATAATTATTTATCTGTAGGTAACTCAGCCTGGACTCATGTTTTTACTGTTAGCCGGAGTGTTTTAATATGGTCAGTTGGCTATTCAATAAAACAATACAAATACAAATTACTAGCACGCACACATAGGAAAATCCAGACTATTTTTATGAAAACCTGGGGCAAAATGCTCATTTGAGTCTAATGTTTTCTCTTGTTACCTACTGAAGTCATGAGAAGTTCAAACATTGAACAACTTTGGGGGATTATATTAGGTTAACTGCCTTGAATAAAAAGTCTTGATCCATCTACTTAGGGTAGAGCTCCCCTCTGGGGGCAGTTGTTCTCATTATTCTCCCCCAAGCCTTGGTATTTGCTAATTGTTTGTTATGCATATGTCCCACCCTTCCTCCAAGGAGCAAAAGCCTGCATATATGGTTTCACTTCTTCCTTTGCTCTTGCAACTACCCAGTGATGTAGTTCAGACTGAGAAACTTTCTAATAGAAGAGAATGTATGTAGCTCAGGGTTGAACTGTGAAGTCCTTGGGGTTCTCTGAGAATCTTTCTCTACTAACCACAGTATAAACATGGCCTGGCAGCATCTTTTTTCTGGTATGTTCCCACAATGTTTTCTTCAGTTCATCCCCAGCCCACGAGTGAGACAGGCTCAAGTCTCCTTAACTGTTCAGGGGTCCAGTATTGTTCTTCTTCCTTCCAGCACTGTGCAAGGGCAACCTCACGTTATATAAAGCATCTTTGTTTTGTCACCCATTCCCTTGCAAGGAAGCAGGGCCCCAGAATAACTTGGGACAGGCAGGAAGGGCAGGATAAGGATCAGTGATGAGGATAGCACTTTTCATGCCAAAATAGTTCTCTGCCAACCAAAGGATTGGTGGAGGATGCACCTCATCAGTAGAGGAAAGATTTAGCTGCATCTGTCTCAAAATACAGATGCTGAATAGAAACAACCTGGATCTCCCCAGTTCAAGTCTGATACTCAGATCTCTGCACAATTAGGAGTGGGGAGCATTGTGTAGGATGTGCTAGAGAGACAGGAGGTGCAGTAGATAGGAAAGAAAAAACGGCTATATTTTGTTCCAGCTCAGTAAAGTCATGGCTGACACTAGATGCATAAACAAAAGAAAAATACATTCAGAATTTTTTTAAAGTATATCAGGTTTAAGAAACCATTTAAAGAGAAGACATGCTGCAGAAATAGTTTATTGGATAATGAATGAAAAAGATACTCAAGAAATAAATTTGCAGAGAGAGTTTGAGTGATTATTTACTGCATTAGCCTAAAGCAGATGCCAGAGGACTTTACAACACCTTTACCTGAAATGCTATTTTCAAGTAGTGCTTATAAAGGGCCATGACACACATAAGGGACACATATAAGTGATTCAGGTTTACAAGTGAAAAATCTAAGGTCACTTAGAAGAATATTTAACAAAGTGCTGTTAAAGAATGCAGTTGTGAAATGGTTTATCTTCCAGGTACAACATACAACACACTAAATCCGGGGCATCTGTGGGTGATTCAAAAAGTCAAGACAGTGGGTGTCTCAATGAGATGAAAATCCACCCAAAATATCTGCCTTTTACTTATTATAACAATTTATATAGCCGTCCATCTTGCAATTATGAGCAGTTCAAACTGCTCACAAGTGTGCAGTATAAGAAGGCATGGAATATATTTATGGAATTATTTACTTATGATAAATATAGGCCAACTTTGCAAGGACAAAATTGTCACAGTTCTCCCAAGGCTTCTTAAACAATAGGAGCAGTGGATATAAACACCAATGAAACTAAAGTGAACATTTCCCTACAAGCAAACATTGTAATGCCAGATTAACAATTTTGTGAAAATTAAATCAAAATGAATGTTTAATTGACCAACCCTATTTCGTATTAGTCCTGGGTTTTTTTTAATACTTTTTATTGAAAAGTTTGACACCACTAAAAGATAATACAAACTGAAATCGAAACGAGAATAGAAAAGAAATACAAAATGCAAAAAGGAAAGAACAGAGAAAAAGAAATAGGGGGGGAAAAAAATAAAGAAGTGACTCACGAACTTCATTGTGCAAGTGCAGGCAAATTTAATATTTTCCCACCCCATATTAGTGGTGTTGGTAATCAGCCCTTGTTGAACATTCCCTGAGGAGTTCATTAGACATACAAAATACGCTTTTATTGGATTAGTCTCACCTTAAGATCATTAGGAGATATAATTAATATTTTTCAAAACTCTTTGCCATTGGTTTGCTAGTCTAGAATGGCAATAAAACCTGAGGAACCTTTGTTGATAATGCATGCTACAAATACGGGATTTGTGCAGAAAAAAAATCCTTATCTTTTGCTTATCAATCTGAATGTGCTCAAAAACAGACAGGTAAAGGGTTTCTGCTGAAATTTGTAAAATTCTGTCAGACTGGTATGAACAGAGGAAGTTCTTTAATTTGCCCAGCCCAGACGTTTTAGGGCTTTAAAACTTAACCCAGTACTCAGAAGAGCTCCAGCAACCAGGCTAGCTGCTGCAGTGTGTCACGTGGATTGACCAGACCTAAGTAAGGAAAGACCTTAAGATTTAATTACAGTCCAAGATTTTTGCAAGGCAGACCAGTAGAAAATGGCCAGTGGTCCATCTGAAGGCTGCTAGTTATTTTCTTGCCAACGTTAACTGCAAGAGCATGAGATGAGGCCTATGGGTTTAGGGAAAAGATCCATCTGGTCCAGCATTTTGTTACAAGTGACCAAGCAGAAGCTTGTTTTTTGCAAACAGATTGATGATCATAGCTGGAATTTAAGGTGATTCCTCAGTGAATTTGTCTAATCTCCTTTTAAAATTGTCTAAGAGGACAACCATAATCACATCTAATGGCTTTAACTGAGCCATACTTTATCTCAACCCTCCTAACATGGTATTTTCCAGATGGAATGAGACTGCACTTCTGGAATCACCATATGGCCAGGGCACTTGTGAATCTGGGAGCGCAGTCCCAAAATATCTGTGGAAGATAGATTGGGACCAGCTGTGAAGGTTGAAGGTGGGTGGCACTATATTGTGCTGGTTCTCCTCCTCCCTTCATAGCCAGTTCCAGTTGGTGTTGATTGGGAGTGAGAGGTCCACCCTTGGTCCCTACATTGTGGAGTGCCACAGGATTTGGTACTTCCTCTACTCCTGTTTTACATCTACATGAAACTGCTGGGTGAGGACATCTGTAGCCATGGGGTTGGGCATCATCAGTATGCTGATGATACCCAGCTGGGTATCTCTGTTCCTGGTGAAGTAAGTGGTGGTGTTGACATCCTGTCTCAGTGCCTGGAGACTGTGGGGGTGGAGGGGTTGAATGGGGAACAACAGGCTTCAGCTGAACCATGGCAGGACTTAGTGGCTTTGGGTTCTGGGGCCACCTGGATCTGGGAATTTACTATCTTTAGTTCTGGATGGGGTGGCACTGCTCCAGACAGACCCAGTGTACAATCTGGGAGTCCTTCTGGACTCATGACTCTTGCTCGATGAGCAAGCGGCAGTTGTGGCTAGGAGGCATTTGCACAATTTCAAGTTGTGTACCAGTTGTACCCATACTTGGACCAGGAGGCCCTGCGCTCAGTCACTCATGTCCTGGTTATCTCCCGCATGGATTACTGTATCACGTTCTACATGGGGCTGCCCTTGAAAAGCAACTGGAAACTTCAGCTGATGCAAAATGTGGTGGTGTGGTCAGCTATGTGCGCACCTAGATTAGCACACATTACACCTCTGCTCCGCAAGCTACATTGGTTACCAGTTTGCTTCCATGTTCAGTTCAAGGTGCTGGTAATGACCTATAAAGCTCTTTATGGCATTGGGGCCACCTCTCCCCAATCACATCTACCCATCTCATCAGGTATGGCAGGAAGGGTATGTTCCGGGTCCTGTCAACAAAGGAATGTCAGAACCCAGGAGAAGAGCCTTTTCTGCCATGGCACCCACCATTGAGAACATCACTCCCCCTGAGGTCAGATTGGCCCCAACCCTGTTGGCCTTCTGGAGGAGCCTGAAGACATGGCTTTGTCATGTAGCCTGGGGATCCAGTAACCTGGGTATGGATCCTGCAAAGTGGCTGAATTGCTAGGGAAATTGAGTGCATTCTCCCACATATTCTTTTTTTAATGTTTTTTATTGTTTTTAATGTTTTTATTGATTTTTGTTTTTGTTGTTATTTTGTTCTATTGTCTTCTGTTTTTAACTTTGTATGCTGCTCAGAGTCACATAAGTGAGCTATGTAAATTTACCAAAAAGATAAATGAATGTTACCATCTGGGTGTGGCAGGCAAGGGATGGACATTAATGTTTCAGTTTAAGGAAAGGTACCTTTTAATGAATTATTTAATCTAGTAGCAACTTTCTTCCAGGAGCCATTCAGCAACACTGCAGTCTGTGTCTGTTCACCACATTCAGCATGTCTGGCCTTAACCGCCATATGAAGAAACATTCCCATGAAAAGCCACATCAGTGCCACATCTGTCTTAAAGCTTTCCGTACACTTTCTCTGTTGCGCAACCACGTGAACACCCATACAGGTATGTTCGCCTTCCTTGTTGTCACCTAAATTGAACCCCATACCAGAACACGTCTTATGGTTCGTTGAACTATTTTTATGACCAATCTTATGAATATAAATCTCATATAAAACATTCCTCTCTTAGTTTTCTGTTTGGGCATATTTTCAGGGGCTGGTTTTCTTAGGCTGTTGATTAGTGTAGAGAGCCACAATTTTTATCTGTCTTGATTAGCCGGGCCCAAAATTTTGGTCTCTAAAGAACTAGTTTGTCTGAACAAAGTTCTCCACCAACTTTCTTGGCATAGGGTTTGCTACTTTGAGACATGCCAAGGAATCTCTTCTTGATCTCTGTGCAGAGACTGGCATGTTTGTCCATTTCAGAGCCAGCCCTGCCATTACGCAGAGTGAGCAAGGTAATTTCATTTTTAAAAAGTTATATATGTGTTTACCCATCCCATTATTCCCTTTAGAGGGTAAGCAGCATAATGCAAAGGGCAGGAAAAGAAAAAGAGTAAGAAGTGGTAAGCAAAAGAAATTAGAGACAGGATCAAAAAAGAAAAGAAAATACAGCTAAAACTAGTTCATACTAACGCTGTTTATTATGTCTCGCCATAACTTTTTGTCATTGCAGACCCGCATTGGTTTATTACCTCTGTACATCACTTCATACATTGTTTTTTGTTCTTTAAACATTTCCCCACTTTCTTTTTGAGGATATCTTTAAATTCATTCATCTGTAACTTTCTCAGTGTTCTTCCTCTTGATCCATGTATTCTTGATACATATATTTGACCTGCAGTTTGAACATCATTCATTCTCTCTATATAACAAACTCCTTCAACATACTTATTACATACTGATCATTCACTGTTGAATTCAATCAATATTCTTTCAGCATCATTCATTTTTGACCCTATCCTTGTTTTACCATACAGACTTCTTACATACACAATTTCCAGTGCATTCAGCTTATGTTTCTCTTCTTGTACCCAACTGTCACTTCCATATCACAGACTGGGCAGAAGAAACACAACCATTTGTGCTTTTTTCAACCAACATTCATTCCTGGCTACAGACCACATGCTGCCACTACCTTTCTGTAAGCATTTAAAGTTCTTAATGTTTCTTCATGCATTTTCCACATTTTTAGTAAACGTTCTGTGAGGTACACAAGTTCATCTGTTTTTTCACCATTTATGTATAATTTGCAATATTTCATTCCATTTCCCCTGTCAGTTGCAACCTGAGTGAACCTTTACCTTAACAAACTGCAGTTTAGTAGACTTCAGATATAATGGACAAAATGTTCATCCAGATGTTACCACAAAATAGTGGTCAAATGCAATCATCCAACGTTATCTGGACAATTCATATAAGTTAACATTATTTGCATCAATCCATGTAATTTGCGTCAATTTGTGTCATCATGTAAATTGATGCAAGTGATGCAAATGACATCATAAATTCATGCAAATGATGTACATTCAGATTTAACAGATATTTGGGTATAACAGACATCTGTCTGCTAAATTGAAATTTTACTCTAACCTGGGCTTTGAAATGTGAATTTTCTGATCCATCTATGGATCATTGCAATTCATTCAGGTTCTCGGCCAACAACATGGCATAATCTGCATAGTGCATGTTCACATCCCCAACCAACACAGCTCTGACATCACCACAGGAATTCCATATACATTTACCCCTAAGTACAATAAACAACCAAGGATTTATCACATATCTTTGTATTACTCCCTGCTCAATTTACTTAGCATTCCATTCTTTATTATATATGCTTTACTTTCATCACTTTAATTGCAACCAATTTTCAATTCTCAAAACATTCCATAATTCAAGCTTATTTATGTTATAATGTGCATTCTCTAAGTCAACAGGCAGACGTAACCTTTTTTTCTCACATTCATACGTTTCTCAGTTACCTATTGAAGGGCAAAAATCCTGCCTGCGTAGCTTGTTTCGCATAAAGCCATAGTGTTGTTCCCAGACAGACTTAACAGACTAACCCCCCTGTAGTTTTTGCATTCAATCTTACTATTTTTCCCATTGCATGTTCTTCCAGTTGCCAAGCACAAATGCCATCCTCACACATACTTCAAAACAAGTCGCATTCCATAAGTCAATCACATCCACAGATTAACATTTCTCCAGTTACACCGTTTACACATGCAGCTGTACCATTTTCCAGCACTCTCACAGTATTAACTGACTTTCTTTTCATCCCCTTTCTCTTGGATACTAACATTTTACAGCATTCATTTCAGCTCCACTGTTGGGCTTAACACTGTCATTCTCATACAGATATCTAAACATGCTTTTCATTGTTCTCTTCCTTCTGCTTCATCCAAGATCATTTCACCAGTTTTATTCTTAATTCCAATCACTTTGTTCCAAGTAGGTTCCCCATGTAAGTTCTTTCCTTGCATTCACTTTCTATTCATTCTCTTAGGAGTTTATCTTCTAATACATTCTCATACCGGACTTGTACTTTCCCTTTCTGCTGCCCTTCTTCTTTTGTTCTGGTTACTTTCACTTCTTTAATTAGCTTATTTAATCAATTTTACTATTATGGCAAAAAGCAGTTCAGGTTGATTATTAATTGCTTTCTACTGAGTTGGATCCAAACTGTAATACATTGATTTTTTTTTCAGAAGCCATTTCTCTAAAAAGCTTTTTGAGATATTTTCCTTGTGTTGTCTAGAAAACAGTCCACTTTCTTCCAATAATAATTCCTCTTCCTCCTCCTCTTCCTTCTCTTTTGGCAGCCATCTTTTTGGGGTCCAGATCAATATTAGATATGGAGCATAGTAGAACACAAAATGGTTGGTGCTTCACTTTGATGGGGAAAGAAGTTTTCATCAGGACCACTATAAGAGAAACATTAAGCTTCTTGTCCCTGAACACCTGATGTTGCTTTTCCCCACCTCTGCCAGCTGCTATTTTAATTTTTTAAAAATGCTAATTCTATCCACAAAATTAACAACATTTCTAGGTTGCTTTGAAGTGTTTGAAGTGTTTGATGAGTCATTTTCTACCTTACTGGATTCCATGCGTAGATGTAAAACTAACAGCCTGGTATCACAACAAATTTCTCAGTATTCCAGGTAGATTTGGATTTATTTGTTTCAATTTAATACATTCTGAATGTAAGGCAGAATGTCTGATTCCGTCTTGCAGGGACCAAGCCACACAAGTGTAATGAATGTGACATGGCCTTTGTGACAGTTGGGGAACTTTCCCGGCACAAGCGATATAAACATACCCTGGAGAAGCCCTTTAAATGCTCCATCTGTAACTACTGTAGTGTGGAGGTAAGAAGGGGAGTTCTCTGCAGAATCATTTTGTGTAGTCTTCCCTCGGCTGAGTAGGAAAAGCTGAAGTTTTCTTTGAAAGAGGCTGCAATTCATGGTATATGTACTCATTTTGGTTAGAAACATAGTTGGTAGGGAATTGAGAAGTCATGTAACCCAGCTGAGCGCAGGATCCACTAAAGCAGTGTTTCTCAACCTCATCACATTTAAGATATGTGGACTTCTGGGTTGTTGGGGAATTCTGGGAGTTGAAGTTTTGATGAGGTTGAGAAACCCTGCACTAAAGCACCTCTGACCATCCAGCCTCTGCTTGAAGACCTTAAGCAAAAGAGAACTCACCATCTCTTGTGATAGCCTGTTCCGCTTGCTGACATCTTGCATGGTCAGAAAGTTCCTCCTGATCTGTAGCCTGAACCTCTTTCCTTGTAGTTTTAACCATCTGGGGCAACTGAGAGTCCACTCCCTCTTCTGTGTGACAACCCTTCAGATATTTGAAGACTGCTATCACATCTTTCCTTACAGGTAGACTTTGTTTAGCGACTACTGTGTTTAGCTACCATTCACAGTTACAGCAATGATGAAAAAGTAACTTTACGACCAATTCTCACATTTATGACATTCGGAGGTCTGTAAAGCAAAGGAAAGCTGAAGGAAGATCATAAGCACAGTCGTGGTTTCACTTAGCGACTGCTTTGCTTAACCGAGTTGCTGGTCCCAATTGTGGTTGCTAAACAAGGACTACCTGCAATTGTCTTTTCTATAGGCTAAATACATTCAGATCTTTTAACCGTTCCCTGTAGGACTTGGTTTCCAGACCTTCTTGGTAGCCCTCGTCCAAACTTGCTCAAATTTGTCCTTTATTTAAACAGTGGTGCTAGTTCTTTATTTGGAATATGCCTCATGTGGAGGAAGAAAAGCCTCTGTGAGATGCTTTTTAAAGCAAGAACAGCAACAAAACCCCAGCATAATACACTGCTGAGCATTCTAGAAGCATTGAGCAAATACAGGGTTTAATCTGATGCTGAATGAAAACCAAGATGGCTGCAGAGAATCCCTGTTTGAGGTCATTCCACCATGTTTCAGATGACAGGAAGACTTGGAGAAGAGCCTTTAAGGCTTGTCTTAATATCTGCATTCCATTTCTGCTTCTGGTAAACAGATTTTGTATCGCTTTCAGAAATCTGTTTCCCTTGCAGGATGAAAGAAAGATGAGAAGCTTAAACCCCTTTTAACTCTGCTGACAATAGCGGGTTGTTTCTAATCAGTGTTAAGCTAGCCTTATGAACGTTCCTTGGATGAAGGAGCAGTACTTCGCCCTGAATTTCAGGAACTAATGAGATGCCAACCAAGGGAGAACAGATTATAGAGTGCTTTAAACGACATCATTTTCTTTTTTTCATTTTTCCAGTTGGAAACAACATATAAATTTGGAGGAACAATATTAAATAAAAGGGGAGTAATATAAAGGATGTGAGGATCTGTGTAAGCCTATTCTCTATCATTGCTGCATGTACTCACAAAATCCCCAATTGTGCAGATTTGCTGTGCAGTTTACATAATTACCCATAGTTTATAGGGTTTTTATGCCCAGTTAAGCCACTGTGTACTTTTCTTTCTTTGTAACTGTCTGTAATACACCCTTTATTTAAACACAACTTGCTCTAAGATCCACCGTTTTGTATGCAGCTTTCACAGACAAAAAACAGTCTGGGCTGCAACTTTCATGAATGGATACTGTTTTGTATGAAACTTTCAGCCAAGAAAGAAAATTGCCTGTAGACTCCGTTTGCTGCTGTTCAATCTGGGCAGCTGAGGGCATTTTTTCTAAAAAGAAATCTATAGCACCTTAGGCCACTCTTAATTAAAAAATAATTAAAACCAGGTATGTGTTCCATTGTATCATTTTAATCCCAACCTTCCTACTAGATGTGTAAAAAACAATTTTGCTGGATTAGACCTTTAATATTTTTCCTCCAGTGGTTAGGATTTGTCCTAATAGAGACAGCATTAACACAGAGGAACAGGAGACCAAGTTCGGAAGGTAGACTTTAGAAGATGCCAGAGCGTGTCATAAGGACAAGCATTGCCACTTAACAGCACTTCTACAAGCCAACTCTCTCTCTCTCTTTTTTTTATGGTGAATTGTTTCAGCAGCAACCCCCATGCAATTGTAATTCAGAATCTTCTTTTACAACTGTAGGCCAGCAAATTGAAGCGCCACATTCGCTCACATACAGGAGAGCGCCCTTACAGTTGTACGCTATGCACCTACGCTAGTAGGGACACTTACAAATTGAAAAGACATATGGTAACTCACTCAGGTACGTATTAAAACTGTAATGACTGCCATTAAAAACAGAATAATGCTAATGCTTGGTCCTGTGGGGCTGTAGGATGCTGAGCCACTAAAGGAAGAAAGATAGATAGGTGGGCAAAAGCAAAGCAGAACAGTTGGAAACAGCTGGTACTCTAGAATAGCAAAGTCAGGTGTTCAATTGAATTGGAGACAAAACAAGAGGAAACTGCTTGGAAGACGAGGTGGCTTCTAAAGGAGCTTGAGGACATGTTGGGTCTGGAGAAAAGAAGACGTTCAGGTACGTAAAGGGAAGCTTTAGGGAAGATAACCAGGAACTACTTTCCTTGGCCACAAAAAGTAACACCAGAAATTGTAAACTGTAGCTACCTGGATTTCATTTAAATAGAAGGAAAACTTGCTGATGCTAAAATCTGTATAATGGTGGAACATTTTACCTATGGACATTGTGCGTTTTCCATTTCTGGAAAGATAGAGGCTGAACAGCTACCTCTGATGGACAGTTTGTTTGGTTTTCTTGCACATTGTTGGGGATTGCACTAAATGATCCTTGTGGTCCCTTCCAGGTCTATAAGTGGCTGTAGTTGTTGTTCAGTCGTTGTCGTGTCCAACTCTTCGTGACCCCATGAACCATATTGCGCCAGGCTTTCCTGTCCTTCACTGCCTCCCTGAGTTTGCTCAGTTTATAAGCGGCTGACAGGATAGGAAATCTGGCTAGAGACTTGCCATGAAGAAATGAGGGCATACTGCAACATTGAGCTGAAGGTTCAGCTTGCACTGTGCTGTTGTATTATGAGCCTGTTTCCTCCATGGTCTCTTGAAATGGCGAAAAACAGTACAAGACACTGTTTTTGAACAGGATTAAGGAATATAGTTTTTGCATGCTGACCAAAATAAATAAAATCTCAGTATAATTGTGTGTCAGGAAAGATGAATGAAACTGATATTTACTCAGCAGTAAATCCAAGAGTAAAACAAGGATGGATGGATGGATGGATGGATGGATGGATGGATGGATGGATGGATGGATGGATGGAGAGAGACATGTCTACATGGTCACCAGCTGCATCTCACAAACTCAGGAACATTTTTGTACTGCCCAGTCAGAGGCTTTGTCATTGCCATTTTTACCAGATACAAAATTCTCCAGAAGTTGACCAGTGCTCCATCCACCTAATAGATTAATGAATGGATTATAATTAATCCATCCATTAATTAATGGAGCTGAAAAATTGACATCCGCTGAGCATCCTCAGGGCACAAAAAAGAAAACCAACCCTTTTCTCAAGTTAAGCCTGGTGAAATGGGGGTGAGCTGCAGTGTAAATGCTACATCTATTTAAATGAAGACCAGTGAAATGGTGGCAAGGAACAAGGAGGTGGGAGAACCAAGATCCCTAGAGATGGGCAAGAGTTCCCACCAATGAGAAAGCATCTGCCCCATTGCCTAGAAGTTCATGCTGTAGAGCCACCCTTGCAGCCTATTTTCTTATACTGCAGCAGAAGCTGAAATCTGCAGAAAGGCTACAGAAACCCCACAGTGTTATGGGATGTGGGTGCAGCACCAATGCCAGTTCAGGGTAAGGATGTATAAGGTGGGGTCTGGAAATGATGCTACCATTTTCAACTCTGGCATTTTGCTCTCTGGTGTACAAGTTCTTATGTGTTTCATTCCAGGTGAAAAACCCTTTGAGTGTGTGATTTGTAAAGCCAGGTTCACACAGGCTGGAACTTTGAAGTTCCATGTTTTGCACAAACATGGGAAAAATGTACCAAAATACCAGTGTCCACACTGTGCCACTTCGGTTGCCCGGAAAGGCGATTTAAGTAAGTTTCATAACTTTCTTTTTCAAAAACCTTTCTGTAAAATTGCATAAAGAATGAAGGTCACCATCAGTATCCAGCTTGACTTAATAAATCTCTATCCCCAAAGTATTATACTCTGGCTCATTAATTTTCAAAGCAAGCTCTTGGCTTTTTTGAGGAAATAAACCCTGATTTCTCCAGCAAAGACGTGACCAGCGAGCTTAGTTTCTGTGTCCAATATCAATCATATGGGCTTAGAATGTTCCTGATGTTTTCACACTCAGTTTCTCTGGTGATTTTTTTCTCAATTCCTGTGTTTTTCTTGGGAAGATCACCAGTGCCTTAGTACTCTGTTCTATTTTTCGATTTTCACAGATTTTTTTAGATTGTCCTGAATCCTCCTCCTCGTATTTTCCCCTCCTTCTTGGCAGATTGCAGGTATGCCCTGGTACACGTGCCCAAGCTATACGCACATAAGTATAACACAAAATGGTGCCATTGCATCAGCGGCACGGTGTTCGATTTAAGCTCTGAGCATGGGTATTAATGCACATCTTTAAAATTGTACAGGGAGAAAGCAGGTGAGACCATCAATAGAAGCTATCTATGTCCTCAAAATTAGTCTTACAAATTCTTCAAATTAAACCCCACAGTGTTTAATTAAATTAAATTAAATTAAGAAGTTAGGCAATATATGACTCTGAGAGAAGAGTGTGAGGAAAATCCGAGCTTTAAGTAGCTCTTTAACTTGCATGAAACAGGATAAGGCAGTGTGGCTGGGAAAAGTAATGGGGAGAAAAACACTCAGCACATCAACATCATCTTTGATGGGTTTATCCCCAGGGTTTGAGGTGAATGACTACCTGCATCTCCTCAGGGTTTCTTCTTCTTGTGATCTATTCCATTGATTTGTGTGAAGCAATTAAAAACCTGGAACTTATCCTGGAGATGGCCAGAAGAAGATGACAGGACATTTGCTTAGTGGACTGTGTGTAAATGAAGAAGTGGCTTCAAAAAGAAGCATGTGTGTGAATGATGAGTACTCAATAGGCCAAGGGCATCCAACAGTGGAGGCTAAAAAAAAAAAAAAAAAATACAAGATGGTGATGCAGTCATGCAACCACAACTCTGCCCCTTTTTTATACACATCACCCCACACATAAAAAGAGGGCACAGCTTCAGTTGTGTGGTTACAGCCACCATCTTGACATTTTTTACACTCTTTGTACATGCCCTTGCCCTAGGCCTGGATTTTTAGAACACAGAGCCAACGCCCCGTCTTGACTGCAGGCGTACAAACTACAACATGAAATCTTAAAAGGGAGAATCTGCAGGTGAATGAAAGAATTGAAGGCAAGAAACTAAAAATTAATACAGCCTTTCCAACCTAGTGCTACCCCAGTGTTTTGAAATTCCAGCTCACCAACTTCTCAACTGGCTTGACCATTGTAATCCCAGCCGGGGGATTACACCAGGTACCAGGAGACTGTACTAAATAGATAATTTTCACTAAGAACATTTTCTGCAGGGTCTTCTCTCTTCCTTCCAATGGCGTGTATGTGAGTTCTTTGGGAGATGCTTTTGCGAAGATGAGGTTTTTTATTTTTCCTGCTCTTAGCGAGACTCTGTCTCCAACAGACTGAATTTTGTAAGAAAGCGGAATAGCACCACCTTTTGGCTATTTAGAATGAAGTGAGTACGTCCCATAGACCAATCCTTTGCATTGCTTTTTGTACTTTTAAATGTTGCTGTTCTTAATCGAAAAAGGGTCCTTCCAAACACCTCGGATGATTTTGCTTCTTTGCGGTCTCCAAATCTGAATCCTAATCAAAGTTCAGTTGGTGCCTCACCCTTGTTTTGTTTAGTCTGTTTCATATTACCTTTTTAACTGAAGTTATATGCGGTTTACAAAAACTTTCAAGTGCAATTCAGGTTGTATCACTGCTTAAACATTGTACTATTTTACTACTGTATTTCATGGGGGCTCAGGAATGTCCATTTTTTTTTTTTTTTTTTGGATCTTCTGATTAGCTTTAAGTATCTGCGAATTGTTCGTGAGTCAATAAATTCCATAGACACCTCTAATCGGATTAAGATTACTGTATTTGCATTGAGCTAAACTGCCCTCCTAGGTCAGATGTGATTGTAAAAGAAAGCATTAATGGGACTACTCTAGACACATCCGCTCCTATCTCTGCTTATTTTATTTTTCATACACACAGCCCTGGGCTCATATGGGACTGGAAAAATAGGAGCAGAGAGAGTTGATATATGCCTTCTCCAGCAGTCTCAACTCTTGCTCAAATCCTAATAGGAGCATCACATGCTTGGTTTGATCCAAGGGCATCTGCAGGATGGATTGAAAAATCAGAATGGTAGCCATGACTCTGGGATGGGAGCTCTGCCCCTTTTTTACATGCATCACTTGTTAAAAAGGGGCAGGACTCTGATTGTATGGTTGCAGCTGTCATCTTGATTATTTTCACACAGAACCAAAAATGCTCCTGGTTTGACCTTTTCTTGCTTTACTTCCAGGGAAAAGCCAAACCTGTTTATGAGGAGGGGGGATAAGAGACAGGATCTAAATAGGCTCTCATTTTTTCCTCTGATGTTTGTGTGGGCACACGTGTGTGTGTTTAACTCAAAGAATTATTTTAAAATAATTATCTCACAAAATATTGCAAAAAGAGCATTTTAAATGAAATGATTTCATCTAGAACAAAGATCTCTGTGTTGGAAAACTGAGACAGTGGATCACAATATAAATAAATGCCCAATTCTTTCCTGATCTTAAAGCAGAGGTCTGGGTTTCAGACTAGCACAGCATCCCAGGGGATAGGAGGAGGCCGCATTCTCCAATTGGCACTCAAAAAATGAAGCGATTTGCATTCTCTCAAGGAGCATCTGTGTTCGTTTGTTGTAGCTGTAGAAAACAAAAAGTCTTGTGAGCCTTTAGACTGATAAATGTATTCTGGATAAGTTTTCTTTGGCTGCATCCGTTTCCCCAAGTGCATAGAATATAATCCTTGTCTCTGTTCAAGCCGTTAGGGAGAAAGTTGAACTGCTTGATGACTTGGAATAATTGAGATACAATTCGTCAACCGTTCTGTATCTTCTGTGGCTTAAACAAAGGCAGTGGGTTTTTTACCACACTACAACAGATCATCATTCTATGTATTTACGATACCCAATAACTGACCACTGTCAATAAAATAATGGTCACTGTCTGTAGCTTCTCTTTTCATTTTCTTTTAACTTCACTTTTTATAATTGACACACTCAACTCTGTGTGTGTGTGTAACATGCACACACATATACTTTCATCAAAGGATAGCACTCGATGCACCTGATGTAATTCATAGAAATGTACACACATAGATGTCTTAGTCTTTAAGTACCACACCACTTGCTGTTTCGGAAGGCTTTAAGATTTCAAGAGAGAATTCAGAAAGCATTATATGGAACAAATGGATCCAGGAATATTGAGTCACACATTAGCCAACTACATTTGCTCTTAATGTGCTGTGCAAACCCAAGCTTCATGTTTAGTTTATGGTTGATGGTGCCATAGAAACCAAGAAAATTACATAACCATTGTGTTCCTGTGTAGGATTCCAGCTGGCCCTACCCTCTCCTAGAATCTTCCATTCTCTTCTGCCCTCTGTTTTTTGGGGTCCCCCCCCTCCAATAGTCACTCTGTATTCTGGGGTCATTGAACCTGTGTCATTGAATGCAGATTCTATACACTTAACTTTAGAAGTCTGTTTCTGCAGTTCTACTTGAGCATTTAGGGAACAGATAATGTAATTATCATTTGCATATGTTTAGCTTAAGTCCAAAGGAGGTCAAAGAGAAGGTGGAATTGTGATGAAAATCAATTCACAAGTTCCTTTGAAGCTCTCTGAGGCTTCCTGTAGCCTTTTCTTACAATATGGATCCGGCTCAGAGCATCTGTTAACATCTAAACCTTTGTATCCACTTAGTGAACTATAATTGGTGCTATGTATGGAAGCCCTTGGTGCCTCCAAAATTATGAAGCAGTTCAGCAAAATGATTTCTAAGTCCAAAAGAGATCATGTGTGATGGGATGGGATCCATACAGGGATGGGATCTTCTGCAGTAGCTGAGTTTGCTTTAATCTCTGATTGTCCACATTACTCAGCTGTTGATAGTGTAGAGTAGGAACCAGGGCAGGGGTCAGAGGTTCTCCAGATGTTCAAGCACTCCCAGCATCCTTCTTTAGCTATAGTGGCTGGGAGCTGCAGTCTGACCATACATGGAAGGCCAGAGGTCCTCCATCGCTACTTACACAAGTGGTGTGCCAGAAGCCTGCTTCAAACAGTAATGGGTAGAATTAAGAGGAATGTATAATCAGATTTCAAGTATATTTACATTTAATAAAAAGTGTATATAATTTTTTTAACAAATTTATATAGCCTTTCATCTACCCCTGGAACTAGCTGATGTGATTATAATTTCCCAATTTGTATTAATAATTTCCCCATCTGTCTAAACAAAGATTGCAATTTGGTAACAATTTTGGAGGTCCCTGGGCCAGGGCTTTTGGGGGCTGCATGGGGCCCTGGAGTCTCAGATTATAACCTTCTAGTGTACACCATATATCTGTAATTATGGGCCTAATATGACAAAAAGTCTGGTGTAGTACTTTAAAGACACATTCATAACCTCATATGTTTCCATTGATTATAGTCCAGTTCATCAGCTTTGAATCGTAATAGCCAACCACATTTGATAGCCTGTGCTAGACTCTTTGCTGCAAGTATGGATCCAGATTTTTCACACCATTTCCCTTGATATTTGTCCCTGAAGTATTGCTTGAATCTGGCTTATTCAAGACCCTTCATAATGGCTAATGTAAAAATAAGGTATTGTTTAATTAAAGTTTATTTAAGCATGCACATAGAAAATGAAAAATAGTAATAATTCGTATGCTCATTAAGGAACTAGTCTCTGCTGAGTGTTAATGCATGCTGGTTCAAAGCACAACTGCTTCCATCTAATGCCACAGTAGGTGCTGGACTTAATCAACGTTGGATGATCTCAGAAAAGCCAAGTGGATTCAGACCTGGCTAGTAATTGGATGGGAGACCAGTTGAAGACCCCAGGTTGTAGACTAGAAAGTTGAAAAGGTATTCTAAAAAAAGGCAAGGTCAGACCGCTTCCTTATTGTTTCCAAAACAATAGCGCGGATCTGCTGATGTAATTTGAATCAGAAAGACTTTACCTTTTCTTTTTCAATGGATGTAGTGGTCACAGAAGACGTGGGATTTATGTGAGTTTAAAATTTAATTTTTTTAAAAAAATGTCTTTTTTGTCAGTTTAGTACCTCTCCTTGAGACTCAGCAACTGTGACCTATTTGGGCAAAGCCATATGAATGCTCAAAGCATGTTGAAAAAAGGCAAAACCATTTCATGCCAATCGTGTTATAGGTATCCACCTGCGAAACCTGCATTCTTACATTGAGGTACCGGTCAAGTGCAATTACTGTGAAAGTGCCTTCCACGAGCGCTACGCTCTGCAGCAACACAAGAAGATACATAGAAATGAAAAGAAATTTAAGTGTGATCAGTGCAGCTATGCGTGCAAGCAGGTATTTGTGAGACTGTCCAGCTCTGGTTGCTGTTTATTAGATTTATATACTGCTTTTCCTGCAGGAGTTCTGGGCGGTGAACATAGCATTCCCTTCTCCAGTTTTTCCCCACAGTAACCAGCTGTGAGGTAGGCTGGGCAGGGAGAGTAACTGTCCCAAAGTCACCCAGGGAGCTTCCATGGCTGAGGGGGGACCTGAATCTGGATCTCCATGGCTGGCTCTCTAATTTGGTGACAGTAGGGAGAGAATATATGGGCTTTCATCATCATGTAACTATTTCCTGATACAAACTCCTATAGAATAAAGTTAGTCCTCACTTAATGACCACAATTGGGACCAGAATTTAGGTCGCTAAGTGATGCAGTTATTAAGCGAATCATCAGGACTGGACCCAATTTTACGACTTTTTTGTGGTGTCGTTAAGTGAATCACATGGTTGTTAAGTGAATCACATGGTTCCCCATTGATTTTCCTTGCCAGAAGCCGGCTAAGAAAGTCACAAATGGCGATCACTTTGCATGCCCCGCTGCAACTGTCATAAGTGCGAGATGGTTGCCAAGCACCCAGATTGCGATCACATGACTGCAGGGGAACTGTGATGGTCGTAACTTTGGGGACTGGTCGTAAGTAACTTTTTTAGTGCCACTGTAACTTCAAACGGTTGCTAAATGAATTGCTGTTAAGCAAGGACTACCTATATCAGCCTTTACTGTTGCAAAGAAGAGGAATTACAGTTAAGCTGTGTGTTGTATGACTTCCTCTTTAGAGCAAAAATGCTGATTGGGAAGATTGCTCTCTCCCAAGCCACTTCTCTCATCTATATGTCATAATTAACATTTGAAAGGCCAGAATGAAAATGGGCAAAATTGTATCAGGGTGAGATTGGATCATTATCCATTAACACCTGGTTTTCAAGAAGCGAGAAAACTATTTTCTGAGATGGTTTACATCAGAAGGAACTGAATGTTCTTCCTGCTGAAAATGGTCTTATGCCAAGGTCAGGTTGCCCTCGCATATCCTGATTACTTAAATACCAACTTCAGAACTAATAGAAACCAAAAAGATGGCTGCTCTAGTAGGAAACTTAGAGGACCCTGACTGCATTGGGGATCTATAACTGCTTTTCTTCAAAATGACAATAGCCATTTAGTAACACTTTTTAAAAAATGGGGGTGGGATGGAGAAATAATGTCACATATAATTTAACTGTTCTTTGCTTCTCCTTAAGTTATCCCAGTCATGGACTCCCATTTGCCTGAATATTTGCTTTTGTTGAAATAAGCTGAATTTTCCCAACATCTTGTCTGGAGCATATGTAAAAGTGCATTAATCTTCAACCATTTGTTATGTTTTGGACAGAGTTTAATTTCAATATTTGAAGTTGGTTTGCTTACCAATGTGCATTTCTTGTTCTGTCAGCTTCATTTTGTTCCAAATTTATTCTTGAACTTGACCTACAATATGCATTGAATGAGGTGCTGCACCTGTTTATTTTTGCAGTGACCTTGAATGAGAATCTCTCACAATGCTGTTTCTACTCTGATTAATGAAAATGGGCATTTCAACAGGAACAAGCAAATAGGAGTCCATGGTCTGACTGTCACAAATCTCCCTCCCTTACACCCTTTAAGAGCATATGCAGTACAGGTAGTCCTTGCTTACTGACTGCCTTGCTTAGTGACTGTTCAAAGTTACAGTGGTGTAAAAAAAAACAACTTTGCAACAATCCTCGCACTTACGGCCATTGCAGCATCCCGCAGTCACATGATCACCATTTGTGTGCTTCATATCTGGTGACAAGCACAGTTAATAGAGAAGGTGGAAATAAAATCATAATTCACAATCACATGATGTTTTGCTTAATGGCCACAGCACTTCGCTTAATGACTGACGGGGAAGTGAGGTCATTAGCCAGTTATGGTTATGTATTTTTTCGCTTAGCGACTGCAGTGCTTAGCGACGGAGTTGCCAGTCCCAATTGTGGTTGCCAAGCACATACACATATATACGCACACATGTAATACATGCATGGAGCTCCATTGCCTCTCGTTCTCAGGGTACTGTTATTAATCCGTTAGAGCAGTGTTGTCCAAACTTGGCCATTTTAAGATGAGTGGACTTCAACTCCCAGAAT